TTTGACGTTTATTGGATACAAAGACAGGGTTGCAAAGGGGCAGAGCCCCCCTTTCATACGGTGATAAACACAAAACTCTGAAATAGCAATAATTATGTGTATTTTAGGTTGTTACAGAGCAAAAAGTTTTACCAGACACTTATTATATCACTAACTTTGTGAAATGGGTCTGTTTTCCTTGTTCTCTTGCTGTGTCCCATGCTCATTGGTTTATTTAAAGTCATAACTTAAGTCTGAAAGTCATCTTCCTAAATTTCAGACTTTTCTGGTAATGACTGTAGAAATTTTGTAGTTTTGGTACAGTGAAACCCTTAATAACGAATACATCGAAATAATTCATCAAATGTCGTATTCTTCACTTTCTATTAATGGAATGTTGCAATATTTAGTTTTTTAATTAAATGATTATCTGGAGCTCTTCAAACTGTTCCCGCATATTCATGGCTATTTATTTATTTTCGCAAATACTGAAATTTACGTATAATATAGTATAAAACTCATTGAACAATTTTCAAGACGACATTTGATAAATTCTTCCGATGTATTCGTTATTAAGGGTTTCACTGTATGAAAATCAGTAATTTTTGCTTAAATTTTATGTTATTTAGAATATTTTTAGATTTTTTAACAACATAAGTAATTTTAGCTTGAACTTAATGTTACAGTGAAAATTCGATTTGTCCTGATTTTGATGTTTTGTATGGTACACAGAAAACATTTATAGTATTTATCTCAAATTTTACAATGTTGGATACCATATTTAACCATTCTTTAGAATATTTCTTCTCTGTAGCTTTAACCCAGTTTTCTTCCAATTATGATTATACACCTCTTAAAATATAATTCTAAATACCAAATTCAACCATCTTTTAATATTCTTCTAATTAGGTTTTCATTAAATTAGGACTGTAGTTGTAATTTCAAGTGACTCCATTTATAGAGTGCTATATCAGATTCTCAACAGTACCCGTGAAAACTGTACTGTACTGTACTGTACTGTACTGTACTGTACTGTACTGTACTGTACTGTACTGAACTGTACTGTATAAGTCTAAGACCCATTTCACTTTCTCTAAATTTAGTTTTTTTTAATCGCTGTTTAATAAGAAGTAGAAATTAAAGACATTTGAGATTTTTATCTGGGGTGAAAGGAAAGGAATACTTTCCACAAATTCTAATTTTGAAATCCCCAAATCTTTGTAACTTGATGTTGTTGGCCTTTGATATTTCAAATTGTGAATTCTGTTAATACAAATAGCATATATTTGAAATATCAAAGTTTTGCTCCATCAGGTTGCAAAGAAATAGAGATTAAAAATTAGATTTTGTGCCAAGTGTTCAGTTCCTTTACTTTAATTTTGCGTAAAACTAATTTCTTTCTGACGGCATAAAATGCAAATAAGATTGCTTAAATGCTGTCCTTCCTTTTCCACAGTTTTATGAGTCTCACTGTATGCCAGGTTAATATTTTTACGGACTGTCAATCTTGATTTAGAAAAAAAAAGTATACTTTTGCTTGTTTAATGAACACTTTTTAAATCTTTTATTTGCTCGTGCTAATCGGGAATTTCTGTATAAAAACCTAAATTATCTTGATGACATAAATGTTCCTTCTCTACAATATAAGTAAATTCAAGAACAGTTTAATTTCCATCTAATATAACTTTAAATAATATTCTTTAAACCAGTTCTTCTTGTCTTAGTAAATTCAAGAACAGTTTAATATCCATCTAATATAACTTTAAATAATATTCTTTAAACCAGTTCTTCTTGTCTTAGTAAATTCAAGAACAGTTTAATATCCATCTATTA